AGCTCTTTTTCTTAGTATTCCTCCTTTCCTTTCAATTCAGGCTTATTTCTTTGTCTCCCCCTTTTAAGTGACTCTTCTGGGTTGTTTCTGCATCTCATGTTGCTCTGCTTTACCTGCCTGTCTTTGCAGGGTGGCCTTCTGTGATAGGAGTTCTGTGGGATTGCACTCAGTCGTGCAATTTCTTTCATCTCCTCATCTGTATGCTCCAGGATTGCCCTTTATTCACTTCACCTGGGCTCTCTTGGTGTATTTGGGCTTTGGCTATTGATGGCTTATTCATCAGTAAGCCATCAATTGTGTTATGTTCTCCCCTCAGGATGGCTGACTGAGAGTCACAACCCCTGCCATATCTTGTATGCTGTTGTACAGGTACTTGATAACAAAGCAGTACTCCCCAGAAAACCAATCCCACACCAGCAAACATTCCCCCTTACCACATGAGCAACATCAACAGCAGTTCAGCAAAGATGAATAAATGTGCAAAGAGATTAAAGACATTATAATGTAGGAAAAATGGAATATGAGACTTAAGGAGAGAAAACTTATTTTAAGGGGGGAATAGAAACAAGGTGAAGACAGGGAGAAAACAAAAGTTAAAATGTAAGCAAAAGAAAGGAAGGGCAATGGCAGAATGGAGTGAGAAAAGTAAAAAGTATTATATGAGGTTTGAAATAAAATTTAAAAATCAGAGAACCAAATGGAACAAAATCACAGAAAAACTACAATAGGGTGAATAACAATGACAGCTGAGTAAAGATTAGCTAAAGTGGACAGAGAATAGAATGTTATACAAAAGAGAAGAAAGAATGTGAGATGTCTACAGTAAGTAAACATAATTTTCAGAGGAGAAATAATGAAATTAAGGAATAGAATCCAGAATAAGAAGGGGAAAAATAAAATTCCAAAATCAAATAAGCAAGGGCAGACGTAAGGCCAAATGGACTAAGACAGGGGGAGAGTTACCTATGAGATGTGAAAATTAAAAAAGTTAACACATAGGAATACAGTTAAAGAAGAACAGCAACAACTGTAATATCCCTGCCAAAGAGGCCACAATTAATAAAGGTGAAAAGAAAATAAGAATATTATAAGAAGGAGACAAAGAATGAGAGTTGACTAAATGAAGGAAGAATCACTTTGAGAAAATAGAGGCAGGAGACATAGTAAGAGTAAGGAATAAAAACAAAGTAGAGCATGGTGGAAAATACGGTTTACAACACAAAAAAATAAATGGCATGAAGAAGGCAAAATGGAGTGAAACAAGGAAAGAGTACAATGTGAGCTTTGAAATAAAAATTAAATTAAATTAAATTAAAATAGCATACAAATCTAAATAAATGAATAAGAAATAAAAGACAAAGAATAGTGAATTAGTTGGAATACAGTTGAGGCAAAAGAATTCTCAAAAGGTTGTGTAAAAGAAAAAAATATCTTAAATTCTGAAGAGGAATGAGCTGAAATTCTTCTCAGCAGCGTTTGGTGCTCACCTTCTACTTCTCCTTCTAGATCTGCCTCTGGTTTGTATCTGGTCAAGGTCCCAGGTGGGCAATCAGACTTTGGGCAGCTAGGCCTATATTACCTTCACCTGCCTCTACAGGGGGCCTCTATTGAGGCCAGGAAGGTGGGACCCCTGAGCCTTCTCTGGGAGGTGCTGTTCAGTCTTCTGGGAAAACTCGTGTGTGTGTGTGTGTGTGTGTGTGTGTGTGTGTGTGTGTGTGTGTGCGCGCGCGCGCCCACTACCCCAGCATCCCCAGCATCACCTGTCTTGTTCTGCTGCAGCTGATTTTCAATCACAAATAGTTCCTGATGAATTAGCTCTTTGTTTCAAGGGACCGGCCAGTCTGTGTTGTGAGAGGGTCCACTCTCTTCTGCTTGGTGCTGATGGAAGCTCTGTTTGCAAACTGAGCCTAGGTGGGGTCCTGATTCTCCCCTGCTGCATCACTTTCTGATCTCCCTGCCTTGCTGGCCTCAGTGGAATAGGGCCCTAGGAACCCATGTATTTTGTCTCCCTGAGAGAAGTTAAAAATGGGCTCTTCTGGAATTTCTTTTTCTTTCTCTCATGAATATGCAGCCTGTAGGGGGTTCTCCAGCCTCCCCTGCTTGCAATCCTGCAGGAGGTGGGGGCTGGGTGCAACCATTCCTTCCCCAAGGCTTGATCTCCCCTGGGAAAAGCATCTCTGTCTGGCTGGAAATAATCTCAAGCACTCAACTCCCAGACTTCCAGTTCCCAGCCCCCACTTTCCAGCAGACAAGAGTCCCTAACTTTCTGCCCTGTGTAGCCATCCTACAGCCAGCCAGCGGTGCTTGGCTGGGGCCAAGAAATCCTCTGGCTGTGCACCTTTCTGAACTCTCTGCTCCGCTGCACCGAGTAGGAGGAAACTTCACCATCAATTCTTTCCCCTTCCTGGCAGGCAGCTGCACATAGGGTCCCTGCCCAGTACCCCTCAGCTCCCCTTTGATAAAGTCTCCCTGGGCACTGTCATAACAGTGCTGAGTCACTGTCCCTCTTTCCCCACACACCAGCTCTCCAAAAAGCCTAGAGTCTCTCACAGTCAGGCTGGTGGTGGCAGCCTTTCTCCACCTAACCCAGGAGCAGGTACAGGCCCTCTCTCCCACTGGCACTCTCCTGGCTGGTGTTTGCCACTTGGCTCTGGGGGTTCCCTGCCATGGGAGAGAAGGGAGCCACAGAACAGCCTTACCTGACCAGGCTCTCCACAGCTGTGGGCTCCACACATATGTCATTTCAATACAAGGTACTTCCCTATTAAACTGTAAAACCTCTTTACCACCCTTTTGAAATGTCTTCTGTACCCCTTGGCTCCCAAATTTCACATCAGCTATTATCTTGTTGAATGCTCAGCTTATTTCTCAGAAGATCAGCCCATTATCCAAGTTGGGGACCAAGAGAGAGTAGACTCATCTTCCATCTTCTTGGCTATCATCTCTTGCCCTTAACTTTAGTTCTTTTTAAGCATATCTCATCTGGTTTAATTAGTATTTTAAAATCGAATTTATAGGGGTGACATTGGTTGGCAAAACCACGCAGGTTCAAAAGGACTTGTACTTCTTAATTTCAAAATGTTGATATTGCTTTACAGACTTCTCACATTATTTGATCTTCAGCAAAGGACTTAACCCTTGTGAGCTTTATATTCTTTGCATAAAATGAAAATGTTAATGCCAGCTGACAAGCCCAAAAGAATGTGAAGAACAAATGCCAGGGAGGTGGTACACGAGAATGTAACTTTTATTGTTTTAAAGATTTAATTTATTTTTAGAGAATGGGGCAAGTTGGGAGAAAGAGAGGGACAGAAACATCAACGTGTGTTTGCCTTTTGGGCACCCCACACTGGGGACTTGGCCCACAGCCCAGCCATATGCCACGGAGTGGGGAATTAGACCAATGACCCTTTGATTTGCAGGACTTTATTAAGCTCATGGCATGTAAGCCACTGAGCCACACCAGCCAGGGCAAGAATGTGTTTTTCTAACTGTAAAGTACTATAGTAATGCAAGATGTTAGTATTACTAAACCTGTCACCTTTCTGTCACCACTTGGGCACCATATTTATTGATAACAGGGTGTTCACATTTTACATTAACTTGATTTTAGCTACATTTTAAAGATGAGTGATGGTTAACTTACATTCCTTACATTCCAATAGTCACTTATGTCATGTTCTGATCTTTGTGTTGGTGTTCATGTGAAATGGTTGATGAATTCTGTGTGAATTTTACAACAAATTTTAATCTATTGTCTTTATATCTGTTCCATTGTGGATGAATCACAATTACTTCTTTCAAATTAATGAAGTGCATAAGGACAACCAAAAACCTACCCTACCTCTCTTGGAGAGTTTATATTATTGTTTACCCATCCTTTCATTGTGGAGAGATATTTCTGGACATCCAATTTACCTGTGACATACCATGAATTACTGTGGGCTTCCTTTAATGCATATATTAATGGATTGGTTTTAAAATATCAGTCTTAAAAGTTAAATTGCATGCTTCACAGTGATTCCAATACCCTGGTATGCTCACTGTGACTGATTAATCAAAATGTTTTCAAGTGCTAAGGGCCATTTGTAATTAGTACACAACTTTCTATATAGAGCATAACTGATGAGGTTGATGAAGCAAAAATGAAGGATATGACAATTATAAGTTTGACCAAAACTAGGTTACATATTGCTCATGCCACACATAACAAACATTCATGAAAATGCAAGTTTAAACTAAAGTAGGAGTTTGAGGCTTGTTCTCTTCATTGTGTTTCTACTTTGAAAATACCATATCCATCAGGTAATTTCCCATTGTAATAATATCCCTTTGATCTCACATCTCTGAAGGAAGGAATATCATTCTAAAGTGACATGGTAGGAATATTGAAAGTGATAGTTTATTAAGCTCAGAACTTAAATGTTAAGAAAAGTAGAAGCAGATTGGATTGTCTACATCATAGCAGTTAAAAATATCAAAAATTGTACTTCTTTACAAATAATCACAGCTTCAAGCTGTATAGCTTTAAAAATAAACAAACAAAAAAACCCATAAAGGAATGGAATTGCATTTGAACATAATTTAAAGAAGGAGGGCTTTTACTTGATACTGTGATTACTGATACTTTGAGCAATAAATGCTCCCATGTAAGCAAAAAAAAAAAAAAAAAAAGAGGTATGGCCTCAGTCAATTCAGCTTGAAACAATTCCATGCAAGAAATTGGAGAGTTTACAATGTACAAGGAAGGGGACCCAATGCCCCCCACACCGCCTCCAGACACAGTCTCATGTGGCAGGTGTCCGAACTCTATGCCTCCCCATGCCCTGACCTTGGCCCAACCCATGCCTCTGCCCTTGCGCCACACATCCTGATGCTGCAGGTGTTCACTGTGTGCCCAGAAAGATGGGAAAATGGCACCTCCCAGAAAACAGTCAAAAGACACCTGTTCTAACAGGCAGGTGTTTTATTAAGGAAATGGGTTTTCATTTACCTCTCACTCACATGGCATACTTCTTGGTCCAAGATCGGGCCATGCTAACACAGGTGTCCTTGTCCTTTAAGTACATCCTGGCAATGGAGGGAACAAAGGCATCATTGGAGTTGGGGTCACAGAGCATGGAGCTGATGGACAACAGGACTTTGGATACGGTCATTATGGGAGACCACTGGGACCTGAAAATATCGAGACAGATGTAGCCTCTCTGGTTGATATTGGGGTGGCAGATTGGAGTGGTGAAGTAAATCTGCTGGGGCATGAAGGGGTAGTGAGGTGGGAATTGTATGTTTAGGCAGAACACTCCTCCCTTGTAGGGGTTGTCCGCGGGACCCCTGATAGTCCATTTCCATGTGAACATGTAATCGTCAACTGGCCCCGTAGAGCACATGGGCGGGGGGTCATTGTTGATGTCCGTCAGTTCCTTGTGCAGTCGCCTCAGAGCTGTGGACGTGTCCATGGGAACGGGGATGGCCCGGATATCCTAGTAGAGACCAAAGGGGGAACCACAGGTTGGGGGGGGCATGGGTTAGGGTGGGTGTGGCTTAGGAGGGCCAGGGTTAGAGAGGCAGACCCCCCCCCCCAGTTCGGCGGGTGGGTAAGAAGGCTGAAGTTGTAGCCAGGCTGTGGAGGACAGGGACAGTGTGGGGAGAGGAAGAGTTAGGGATTCATGTGGACCAGCAGAACCTGAGGGGCTACTGCTCACCTGTGTGCCACTGACCCCTGACTCCTCCATCCCTTCCTCCTCCACCTCTTCTTCCTCCATTATTGGCTCCTCCAACCCTGGCTTCTCCATCCCTGGCTCCTCCATCTCTTCCTCCTCCACCACTGGGTCTGCCGCTCAAAGCCTGAGCCCCGAGGCTGTGCTGCGGTAAATACCATCACCCTGGCACAGGACCAACGGCTCCTGCCTCTCCCTCCGCGCCTGAGGCAGAATGGAATATGTTCTGTGATGTCACAAGGCCGGCTGATGGCGTCAGAAAGTCAGTGGGGGCAGGGCCAGGGGAGACGGGGGGGGGGGGCTGAATGAGAGGGAGTCATTATGATAACGATGATTATACATTAATACTATTATAACAACATATTAGAGCTATCTATGAAATACACATACATACATACATACATACATACATATAGAACTTGTATTAGAAAAATGGTTCTAGTCCTCTGTAAAGATTAAAGAAGCAGATCAAGAAAGGGAGCCACCTGGGATATTTCACCACAGAATGAGGAACACAGTGAAAACACATCTCCATCCTTTATGCCTTTTTTCCTCTTGCTCACATTGCTGATGGGTGCTCTCCTATGCGCACAATGTCTCGACTTGAGAGTGCATGGCCTGATGCCAGCTCTTATTCTTATGACATATTTGAGCAGTTTGTGACCACAACCAAGTGCTTGTTTGCTCACACATGACAAATGCATAGGTATTAGAGTTAAGGAGTAAAAACAACAAGTGTCAGAGTGTATTGAAGAGCAGTGTGTTCTGCCCTTCAGAATACTCTCAACACTCAACACTCTCACAATATTTCAATCTTTACTACCTTTCTGCGCTGCTCATTGAACAACTGTGAAATGACAAGTGCACTCAAGAGTAGGTTAACTCCACGAGCAAATATGTTCAAAATGACCAGAAGCTTATATGCACACCATTACTCTACTTCATTACCTACTGTCAAGCCATGGCTTGTATGTCTGCACACACTATGAGTTTCATTGCACTGTTTTGGAAATTTCTTTCAACCAAATATCCACCTTCTCAACACTCATATAGACTGTGTTGAGAAGGGGTGGAGGACTCAATTACTTTTACTCTTGGTCCCACCACTCATGGGAGTATGAAAGTTGGATGCATTTACTTCCTGTAACGATCATCACTAATCTACTGAACACCATGTTTATGTTATTTGCTTGTTGAGGCAAAGATAAATATGTTATGGTCTCTGAATTAAGGGCATTCATGGCCTGGTGGAGGAAGAGGAAAATGCATTCATATTTACTTAGGTCATTAAAATGGCATGATCTAAATACTGTAATAGAAACATAGGCTTTCAAGATGGCGATGGAGTAGGACGGAGCAGATACCAGTTCCTAGTACAAAAGGGAGAGAAGCCTGTCCGATCGGAGGAGGAGAAACCAGCAAGCCAGTAGTTGCCAAGCATATATGAAAATAAGGGACCAGAAACCTCCACAGTCATGGAGGAACCAGAGGGTAGGGAGACAGCAGCGGAACGGTAGTCTCCGGACGGAGCAAAGAGAAACGGCGGGGATCGGGGATCTCTGCCCGGTGCATGGTTGGGGAACCAGCGCCCAGTGGCGAGAGCCCAACGGCACCTGGGACAGCGTTCAGCGCCCAGAGGGCTCCCTCCCTGGGATTTTTCAGCCGGGCCAGCCCAGGCAAAGAGATGTGGAAGGGATTTCGGCCTGTGCACAATTTGGGGGACTATCGCAGTGTATCTGAGCGAGTGCCTGAGGGCACCTAGGCCAAAGTTCAGGGCACCCGGAGAGCTCCCTCCCTCGGATTTTTGGGCCCTGACTTGCCAAGAGGCCCAACCATAGGGGAGCAGAGGAGAATTCAGCCTGCGCACAGTTCTGGGTCCAGCGCCTGGCATGATGCTGCTCCATCCCTGGGATTTTTCTGCTGAGGTTGGCCAGGGGACCCAGACAAACACAAGAGCAGAAGGGATACACACCACACAGCCTGCCTTGACGTGCGTACAGAGTTTCTAGGTCAGTGCCCAGTCCTCAGATCAGCTCCCAGATTCCAGTCCACCCCGCTCAGACTATCTGGAAGCCCTGGGCACTGAGGGGTCCTGGGAAAAGAGCTGAGACCCTCAACCCCCTCCCTTTCTGGCCAAGCAATGAGGGGTGCCAGGAGAGACTTGTTTGATAGTGTTTGAGGAGAGGGTGCTGAGGACAAAGGGCCACGACCTAGGACTCTGTGGTTGCCAGCCCAGGAGAACTGAGAGGTACAGCGTGGGGCTCTAAATCCACTAGACACAACAGCCTGGTCTGCTCCACACCCAGCTTGGCAGTGAACCCAAGATTGGGCAGAGGGCCTAGAGTTTCCCCACAGAATGGGGGCAGGTCTGTGCTCAATCTCGAGGGAACCAGGCAACTAGGCCGGTGCAGGTGCCTGCAAAGACCACAAACCAGCCCATGGCAGTAACCCCGAGGAGGGGAGCACTGTGAGGAAGTCCTAATTCCCCATTGCAGGGAGCTGGGGAGAGGTGCCAAGTGTCTGGATCCTGAGAGGGGCTGGCTGAAAAAATCACAACGTTCGACCCTCAGCCAACTACAACCAGAAAAAACGGTTCAGCTAGTTTGAAGCCAACAAGTGACATTTCCTTTTTTGTTGTTGTTTTGGGGGATTCTTTTTGTTTGTATGTTTTTGTTTGTTTTTTCTTGTTTCTTTTTTAAAATTTTACTTTATTTTATTTTTATTTTTATTCTTTCTTTTTTTTTACTTTCTTTTCCATTCCTTTTCTTTACCTTTTTGCTTTTTTACAGTACTCTGTTTTTTCTTTTAAATTTTATTACTTTTTCATCTTTTGATACTTTTGTCCTCTTTTCTCGGATTATCTGTTTTATTTCTTCTTCTTTTCTTTCTAAACTTATTGCTCTTTCTTCCATTCCCCAACCCTTTTTTTTCTTTCTTCCTTTTATTTCTTTCCTTGTCATTTCTTTCTTTTACCCAAAAGAATCACAATCAACTTGAAAATATAAAAAGATCAGAGCTGGACCCATAGAGGAGGCCTCCCAATAGTAGAGTCAGAGAGACAAATTGCACACTGCTGCAGGAGAGAACACAAAAGTTGCTGCATATTTGAATAGGTGGAAGCAGAGAATGACAGGACAACCAAAAGAGACTGCAACACTGAAATCCACAGGCATTCCAGAACAAAAGTTCACACCATAAACCAAGGGTGTCAAAACAGATTAGTCTAAGAAGCTGAGGCTAACAAGAAGAGTCTCACAACAATGGGAAGACAAAGAAACAATGCCAAATAGAAGGAAAGGAGGAACCCTCAGGAAGAATGTTAGGTGAAATAGAGGCAAGTCAACTATCAGATACTGAATTCAAAGCACTGGTTATCATGAATTTCAAAGAGCTCACAATCAGCTACCAGAAACTACAGGGGAGCTACAATGAGCTCACTGTGAACTATATCAACATGAAAAAGGAAATGGAAATTATTAGCAAGGGCCAAGAGGAAATGAAGAATACAATTTCTGAATTAAAAAACACAGTGGAAAGCATTAAAAATAGGGTGGATGAAACAGAAGATCGGATTAGTGAATTGGAGGACAAATTAGAAAGCATCTCACAGAAAGAACAGGAAAGGGAAAAGAGGCTCAGAAAGAATGAAGAGAGATTAAGAGAAATGCAAGACAACATGAAACGTAATAATATCCGGATAATAGGAATACCAGAAGGAGAAGAAGAAGAACAAGGGATAGAAAACATATTGCAAAGAGTAATGAGAGAAAATTTTCCTAATTTGATAAAAGAAAAAGCCACACAAATCCAGGAATCACACAGAGTCCCATTCAAGAAGAACCCAAGGAGGCCCACTACAAGACACATCATCATTAAAATGGCAAAATTCCAACACAAAGGAAGAATCTTAAGGCAGCAAGGGAGAAAAAAGAAGAAATATGCAAGGGAGCCCCAATAAGGTTAGCCACTGACTTCTCAATGGAAACACTCCAAGCAAGAAGAGAATGGCAAGAAATATTCCAAGTAATGAGAAACAGAGGCCTAAAACCAAGGCTACTTTAGCCAGCAAGGCTCTTAATTAAGAGAGTAGGCCAAATAAAGAGCTTCCAAGACAATAGAAGTCTAAAAGAATTTGCTGCCACTAAGCCAGCTCTACAAGAAATACTAAAAGGTCTGCTTTAAGGAAAGGAAGGAAAAGAGACAGGCAGAGAGGAACACAGGTACAAAAATGGCAATGAATAAGTACCTATCAATAATAACCTTAAACAAAAATGGATTAAATGCTCAAATCAAAAGACACATAATAGCGCAATGGATAAGGAAGCATGACTCACACATATGCTGCCTACAAGAGACCCGCCTCAGGACAAAAGACCGTCATAGACTAAAAGTGAAAGTTTGGAAACAAATTTTCCAAGCTAGTGGACAAGAAAAATAATGGGGTAGTAATTCTAGTCTCATACAAAATAGACTTCAAAAAAAGAGCCATAGAGAGTGACCCAGAAGGTCGCTTCATAATACTCAAGGAAAGAATCTACCAAGAAGCCATTAACATCGTAAATATATACGCACCAAACATAGGGGCACCCAAATATATTAAGGTAATCTTAGAGAACTTCAAGAAAGATATAGACAGCAACACAATTATAGTGGGGGATTTTAACACCCCACTATAAAAAATGGACGTATCTTCCAAAAAAAGATATTACGGCATTAAACAACACCCTAGATGAAGTGGA